AACAGATATGTTTTAAAGAGTTTTATGATGGGGTAAAGGGGTTTAGTGTTTTGTATAATTTCTTATATTAGGGTTTCTTAAATTTCTTATCCAATTTAAGGAGATTATGGTTTGTTATTAAAATATGAGGACCAGAATACACTGTTAAATGCGAGTTCACTTACGGTACATTTAATGTATTATGTAACCTTGTTACTACTAATTTCTAGATTTTTATAGTGTCCCAGATTTATTCTCGGTCTAATTCCAGAATTAAGCCAGAAATTCTATTAAAAGTTAATTGGAATTGAATGAGTTAACAGAATAGTAATTCAGATGTAAGAATCTGATTGATACTCTTCTTACAATGTCTTTTCTGTGTCATTGTTCAACTGGTGCATCTGAACAAAAGAGCCTACGATACAAGCGTCTTTTAATACTGCTCTGAAAGTTCATCGGTGCTGCCCAGCAACAGAGCTTATTTCTAGTGGACCTAAAGCCAGCTGCCAAATGGCTCGCCTTCAGGGTCTTCTGAAGGATAAACCAGTCAAGTCATCTCTGAAGATGCAGGTAAATCTTAGTCCTGGTTTTTGTATAGTTTTAAAATTTTAATTTGTATAGTTTTAATATTTTAAATAAATGTTCTATTTACCTTTTTATAATCTAACCCACCCAGAGTCGTCTTAAAGGGGAGATGGGCGGCATAAAAAAAGTTAATAAATAAAATCTATTACTGAAAAATTGCAAACCTTTTATAAGCAGCTGTTTCCACTGTATGTGTATTTGTGTCTCATTTTGGATAATATGCTGCATATGGATTTCATGTGTTTGACAAAATATTTTGTATCTATCAGTACCAGTGAGGATGCTCAAAATTCTAATTCAAAATATTGTTATCATCATTGCCTGCTGAAATAGTCCAAAGATGTTGCAGATATATATTGTATGGCTATAATCTTTTAACATATTTATTTTTTTGTTGAAGCTCTTGAGGAAAAAGTAAATTAAACAGCATTCCTGTAAATCCCAATCTTTCTCATTTTAGGCTCTTCCAGTTCTCGGAGTTTTAGATAACATGGAAGACAGCCGTCCCTGTAAAGGATTTGTTCCTGGTGCTGACATTCACCGAAGTTTGATATCAAACCACAATATTCCGTGTTATGACAGGGCACACAATGTATTTAAAACTCTGAAAGGAGCAGATTTCAGGTGTGTCATCCAACAGATCAGTAAATGACAAAAAATCTTTAAAAGTGTTTACTGAATGTGTATGATCTTGACTCGAGTTACAAATAGAAAGGATTTAGTCAAAGGATCACTACAACAAAAGAGAAAAAATTTAAACCTGGTTCCTCTGTAACCCATTTAGCATCTAAGGCAAGATGTGCTGGTTTAATGAAGTCCACGTAATCTATTCAGATCAGGTTCCCAAGGCCAGGCTTCCTTGGTGACCATGAATCTTGAATATTCCAGATCCTGCAGTGATGAAGCAGACTTTTCTTTAGTCTTTTTCTATTGAAACACACATGCGCATCCTGTATACCCCTTTTATTCCAAGTCATTGTATATGGATATTCTCAGTTAGGATAGTCCAGGTCATGGTTGTTCCAAAGGTACTTTTTCAAGAGGCAACTGGACTTTCTGGTTTTTCTTTGAAGACATTTCACTTCTCATCCAAGAAGCTTCTTCAGCTCTGGGTGAATGGTGGGAATGGAAGGAATAATACTCCTTGCAGACAGCTGGTCATTTGCATTCTTTTAGAGAATGTTATCTGGGAAGAGTTTGACCCTGTGACCCCCGAAGACGTGGACAGGATTCTGGGTAGACTGAGCGAGGCCATGTCCCTCCTGGTTGGTGCTGGCTTCTCGGGAGGTTACACGAGGCTGGCTCCAGGGGATTATTAATGGTTCATTGAGTGAGGGTGACTTTCCCGCCGCCTTGAAAGAGGCGGTGGTGAGGCCTCTCCTCAAGAAGCCTTCCCTGGACCTGGCTGTGTTAGCAAATTATCCAGTCTCCAACCTTCGCTTTTTGGTGAAGGTTGTTGAGAGTGTGGTGGCGCGACAGCTTTCCCAGTACCTGGATGAAGCTGTCTATCTGGATCCGCTCCAGTCCAGCTTCAGGCCTGGGCACAGCACGGAAACGGCATTGGTCATATTGGTTGATGATCTCTGGAGGGCTCGGGACAGGGGCTGTTCATCTGTCCTGGTCCTATTAGACCTCTCAGCGACTTTTTGATACCATCAACCATGGTATCATGCTGCACCGGTTGGAAGAGTTGGGGGTGGGGCACCGTGTTGCAGTGGTTCTCCTTTCTCTCCAACCGGTTGCAGTCTGTGTTGGCAGGGGGGCAGAGGTTGACCCCGAGGCGCCTTGTATGTGGGGTGCCACAGGGGTCGGTCCTCTCGCCCCTTCTGTTCAACATTTATGTGAAGCCACTGGGTGAGATCATCCGTGGTTTCGGGGTGAAGTACCATCAGTACGCTGATGACACTCATCTGTACATCTCCACCCCGGACCACCCCAATGATGCCCTTGAAGTGATGTCCTGGTGCCTGGAGGCCTTGCAGATCTGGATGGGGAGAAACAGACTCAAGCTCAACCCATCCAAGACTGAATGGCTGTGGTTTCCGGCGTCCCGATATAGTCAGTTGGTGCCATGACTGACTATTGGGGGCGAGTCGTTGGTCCCCACGGAGAGGGCTTGCAACTTGGGTGTCCTCCTGGATTCACGGCTGTCTTTAGAAGAGCATTTGACGGCTGTGGCCGGGAGGACTTTCTATCAGGTTCGCCTGATCCGCCAGTTGCATCCCTTTCTGGATTGGGACTCCTTACGCACGGTCACTCATGCCCTCATCACTTCCCGCCTGGACTACTGTAATGCTCTCTACATGGGGCTCCCCTTGAGGAGCACCTGGAGGCTCCAACTGGTCCAGAATGCGGCCGCACGGGTGGTTATGGGAGCGACGTGGCGTTCCCGTGTAACACCTCTCCTGCGTGAGCTGTACTGGCTCCCGGTGGTCTTCCGGGTGCGCTTCAAGGTCTTGGTTACCACCTTTAGAGCGCTCCATGACTTAGGACCTGGGTACTTACGAGACCGCCTTCTGCCACCAGTAGCCTCTCACTGGCCAGTACGCTCCCATAGAGAGGGGCTCCTCAGGGTGCCATCGGTCAAACTGGCGATGGCAGTTTGGTGTCGACTGGCAGCCCCCAGGGGCCCCCAGGGGCCCCCAGGGGGACAGCCTTCTCTGTGGGGGTACCTGCCATTTGGAACGAGCTCCCCCCGGAGATACGGAGGATCCCGGATTTATGCACTTTCCACCGTGCCCTCAAGACCTTTTTATTTCAACAGGCTGGCCTGGCCTAACTTCCTTTTAATTGTTAATTGTTAATTTGTTTTAAAACAATAGGGGTGTTTTAATTTGTATGGGCCAAATTATTTAATGTGCTTTTACATTGTTTTTTAAATTTTGTATTATGTCTGTTTTATCCTTTGGCTGTTCACCGCCCTGAGTCCTTCGGGAGTAGGGCGGTATATAAATCCAAAATAAAGTAAAGTAAAGTAAAGTAGAGTTGTTAAGGCCACCTGGAACTTTATCTGTGTTTCATAACCATCTGCACTACTCAGGTCACCCTGATGAAACATAAACCTCCAGGTGGCCTTAATGACTAGCTCAAATAATGCAAATGACCAGCTGTCTGCAAGGAGTATAAATCCTTCCATTCCCCACCATCCAGTCAGAGTTGAAGAAGCTTCTTGAATGAGAAGTGAATTGTCTTCAAAAAAAAAAAAAAATCAGAAAGTCCAGTTGCCTCTTGAAAAAGCACCTTTGGGACTAAATCATTGTATTTATGGGTTTGATTAGAAAGGGAAGAATATAAAAAAAGGAAACCATTATGTAATCTTAGAGGATAAAATATAAATGCATTTATGACTGTTGTAAAGAAGACTGGAAGCCACGTGGTATATATTCTTTATTCTTTTTTCTCTCTTTTATTTCTTCCTTATTTACTTATCACTTTTCTTCATTTTTATTTTTATAAAAAAACCCATAAAATTTTTTTAATAAAATTAATTTAAAAAATGAGAAAGCTTTGACTGATGTAAAGATCTCTTTTTTGGGAGAGAATTTACACCATCACTTCTAGTCTAACCTTTGGGTGCTTTTTCCCCAGACTAATTTGTCAGAATCGTTCATATCATTATAAGAGGTATCCCCCTCAGGATTTATGTTTAAAGAAGCATGTCCCAGCAATGGATGAAACAGAGAAAGCAGGTAACGTGGGAATGATAATTGTAGATAGTGTACAAGTAAAAGAGTTGGCCAAAAGTGCCATAGAAATGAACTGATACTTTATTTACAGGTAGTCGTTGAGTTATGATGGTAATTTCTGTCAGTAAGTGATACACCCATTAAATGCAACATCATGTGACCAAAGCGATAGCAATCTGGACAGTCCCTATTGCAGTTGTTGTGTGGATTATGTCTCGTTAAATGTTAAATCTCATTTGATCATAACTTGTGAGTTCCTGTTGGTTTCAACAAGCAAAGTCAATGGGGAAGCCAGCAGAAAGTCACAAGTCCCAGAAGGATTGCAAGCAGGCTGGTGGACAGGTAAGCGGCTATGTGGTGCTGTGTGAATATCGGTGGGCTAAAGTTTGCTGCCGCTGCCATCAGGTGGGACATGACCATGGGTAGGGATGGCTGCTGCTGGGTGTAGTAGTTTACACACACACACACACACACAGGGGGGGGAATATGTGCATGCATGGATACTGCACAACAGCTGCACCCACACACAAACTGTGTGTTCATTCATTCATTCCAAAATTTTTCCATGAAGAAAAACATTGGGAATCAATATTTTAGTATTCTATAACAGCCAACTTAAAAACATGGCTTCATATCTGACCAGACTGTACTTTCTAATGCTGAGGGGGGAAGGAGAGAGGGAGGGAAGAAGTGATGGATGGATGGATGGATGATAGATAAGTGATAGTTTTTCATCAACTGGAAGCAGTCTTATGTAATTTATTACTTTATTGTATTTTATAAAATTGCACTGTAAAATATGAAACCGTACATGTTATTAGTCATGCATTTTTCCTCAGATCTAAGAACATACCCAAGGATCCAGTTGGAATACATTCAGTTACTATGTTCTCTGGCTCTAGTAATATTTTTCAGCTTTCAGAAAGTCCTATTTAGGGGGTGCGAACAAATGTAGGTTCTTTTTTCCAGCACCTGATCTGCCACTTTTTTAATGCTGTCATCCAGGTTTTCAGGAGAATCTAGAGATAATGGAAACAGAAGAAATTGATCCTTTAAAGACAAATATAAATGAGAAACAAGACAAGCTGCTGAGCAGCTAGCAACAAGTGCATACAGGTAATCCTCAATTTACGACCACAATTGAGCCCAAATTTATGTTGTTAAAGTGAAAAATTGGTTAAGTGAGTCTTGCCCCATTTAATTTATTTATTGGTTCGATTTATATGCCACCCTTCTCCGGAGACTCAGGGCGGCTTACAATGCGTTAAGCAATAGCCTTCATATTTTTGTATATATTTGCTTAGTAGGGCTTTTGGCCCCCCCCAAGCAGTGTTCTTTTTTATACAAAGTCAGCTTATTGCCCCCACAATCCGGGTCCTCATTTTACCTACCTCAAAAGGATGGAAGGCTGAGTCAACCTTGAGCCTGGTGAGATTTGAACTTGCAGTAATTGCAGGCAGCTAGTGTTACTTAATAGCACTTTAATCTGCTGCACCACCAAGGGTCTTAATGACTTTTCTTGCCACATTTGTTAAGTGAATCACTGCAATTGTTAAATTAGTAACCGGTTGTTAAGTGAATCTGATTTCCCCATTGACTTTGTGTGTCAGAAGGTTGCAGAAGGGGGTTACATGACCCCAGGACACAGCAACAGTCATAAATGTTAGTCAGTTGTCAAGCATCCAAATTGTAAATCATGTGACCATGGGGATGCTGCAACGGTCATAAGTGTGAAAAATGGTCATAAATTTTCGGTGCCATTGTAACTCCAAATGGTCACTAAGTGAACTGTTGTAAATCAAGGACTATCTGTATTCTTCATTAAGGGAAATAATGAAAACCCACTTTGCCCCACATCCTTAAGATACATTAAAGGCATGTTTTAGAAAGGGTGGCAGGTTTAGCAGGTTTGCTTTAGCAAGTATTGACTATTCTGTTGACACCTCAGAGGGGTGACAATTATTTTATTGATTTATTTGATCAATTTAGATGTTACATACAGTTGCAAGAAAAAGTATGTGAACCCCTTGGGATTACGTGGAGTTTTGCATGAATTGGTCATAAAATGTGCTCTGAACTTCATCTAAGTCACAACAATAGAAAAACACAGTCTGCTTAAAATAATACTACACAAACATTAGATGTTGCCATGGTTTAATTGAACATAACATGTAAACATTCACAGTGCAGGGAGGAAAAAGTATGTGAGCCCCTAACCTAATGACTTCTCCAAGAGCTAATTGGAGCCAGGAGTGAGCCAACCTTGACTCCAATCAGTGTGATGATATTGGATGTGTTGCTGACAGCTGATCTGCCCTTTAAAAACACACACCTGTTTTGGGTTTACTGGTTTCAAGAAGCACTGTCTGATGTGAATCATGCCTCGCAGAAAAGAGCTCTCAGAAAACCTACGATCAAGAATTGTTGATTTGCATGAAACTGGAAAGGGTTACAAAAGTATCTCCAAAAGCTTGATGTTCATGTGTCCACGGTAAGACAGACTGTCTACAAATGGAGAAAGTTTAGCACTGTTGCTACTCTCCCTAGCGTGGTCATCCTGTAAAAATGACTGCAAGAGCACAGTGCAGAATGCTTCATGAGGTAAAGAAGAATCCTAGAGTGTCAGCTAAAGATCTACAGAAATCTCTGGCACATGCTAACATTTTTGTTGACACATCTACAATAAGGAAAACATTAAACAAGAATGGAGTACATGGGAGGACACCACGGAGGAAGCCATTGCTGTCCAAAAAAAATATTGCAGCATGTTTGAAGTTTTCAAAAGAGCACCTGGATGTTCCACAGCACTACTGGCAAAATATACTGTGGACAGATGAAACCAAAATTGAGTTGTTTGGGAAGAACACACAACACTATGTGTGGAGAAAAAAAGGCACAGCACACCAACATCAAAAGCTCATCCCCACTGTAAAACATGGCGGAGGGAGCATCATGGTTTGGGGCTGCTTTGCTGCCTCAGGGCCTGGACGGATTGTTGTCATTGATGGGAAAATGAATTCCAGAGTTTATCAAGACATTTTGCAGGAAAACGTACGACCATCTGTCCGCCAACTGAAGCTCCGCAGAGGATGGGTGATGCAACAGGACAATGACCCAAAGCATACAAGTAATTCAACAAAAAAAATGGCTTCAACAGCACAGAATACGCCTTCTGGAGTGGCCCAGTCAGAGTCCTGACCTCAACCCGATTGAAATGCGATAAGAGAGCGATTCACACCAGACATCCCAAGAATATTGCTACACTGAAACAGTTTTGTGAAGAGGAGTGGTCCAAAATTACTCCAGATCGTTGTGCAGGTCTGATCTGCAACTACAGGAAACGTTTGGTTGAGGTTATTGCTGCCAAAGGAGGGTCAACCAGTTATTAAGTCCCAAGGTTCACATACTTTTTCCTCCCTGCACTGTGAATATTTACATGTTATGTTCAATTAAACCATGGCAACATCTAATGTTTGTGTAGTATTATTTTAAGCAGACTGTGTTTTTCTATTGTTGTGACTTAGATGAAGTTCAGAGCACATTTTATGACCAATTCATGCAAAATTCCACGTAATCCCAAGGGGTTCACATACCTTTTCTTGCAACTGTACATGACTCTGGGAAGCTTGCAAGTTAAAAACACATAAACTCAAAAAACAGACAAACCCCAAAATCATAACAAAAACATTGTTATTGAAACAATAAGAACGATTAAAAAATACGATCTGTACCATAAATGCAAAGATTGGCCGCAAAGTTACTTTTCCATCAACTGTCATAAGTGCGAGCAGCTGCTATATAAGACAGTTGCTAAACAAAGAATACCCGTATAACCGCTTAGTAGGTGCCGCACAACTCCCCAGGTGAGATGGTAAGGCCATATTTATGGGCCCTTCCAGAAGGCCGAGGATAGAGCCAATCTGACTTCAGGGCAGAAAATGTTTCAGTGAGTGGGTACCATGGCAGAAAAGCCTTTCCTGCTGAGTCCCATAAAATGACATTCCTTAGTGGATAGGGCCCAATAACTTGCCCCTGCTGCTAGACCTGATGGGATGGGTAGATGCAATTGGAGAAAGGCAGTCCCTCAAATAACCCGCCCTATATGTTTAGGGATCATTACCAACACCTTGAATTGAACCTGGAAGCATACTGGTAATCAACGCAGCTTGGAGATCAAAGGCGTAAAAATGCTCTGATCTAGGTCCCCACACCACTGCTTTTTGCACAAGCTGAACCTTCTGGATGCTCTTCAAGGGCAACCCCATATACAGGAGGCTTCAGTAATCCATGCAGGAGCTGACCATATAAGCGATTGTAAGTAGAGCTTCCCGATGAAGGAATGGGCTCAACTGGTACACAAACTGAAGTTGCCCAAAGGGTCTCTTAGGACTGTTAGCTTCTCATTAAGCAGGAGTTGCGAGTCCAGAAGGACCCCAGATTGTGCACAGGGTCTATGTTGGGCAGTGCCACCCATCTAGAACCAAAGACAGGAAGGTTCCAAATCCCGATGATCCCAAAATCTAAAATCGCATAATTTTTTCAGATCTTGTCACTACCTGGCCAACCTAGGCTCAGAAGCCGAGCAAGGTAAGGTCTGGTTAGTAATTGGATTGAAGATTTTCAGAGGGTATCAGATGAATAGGCTAGATCCAGAAGTTAAAAAAAAAACACAAAACTGAAAAGAAGACAATAGCAAGCCATCTCCAAAGAAATGGAACAAAATGTCATGTTCATGTCCATGAAATCACCAGGAATAAACTTTTTACTTGAAGGATTTTTAAAGATACTTTGTTACAGCTGAAGCAGCAATATTGAAGTCAATTGTAACACTTACCTTTTTGTAATGATACTATTGTGTAATTATTCTCAAAACAAGCTTCTGTGCAGAAAATATTTGCAAGCAGCACCTAGAAGTCAGTAGAATTATTAGCAGTTTTAATTCTGTTCCTAAGTGTACGTCAAGAATTTTAATGTAATTATCAACTCCTGATAGACGTGGTTTGGACAAAATCGTCTTATTGAACTCTAGGTACACCATGTATCTGCTTAACAAATAAAAATGGACTGACTGACTTTCTTTCTCTCTCTCTCTCTCTTCCCCCTCCCTCCCCACTTTGCAGTGCTTGTTGCCTCACAGCTGAATAACTCGACTGAAGTTTGAAAGATTAATAGAAGAATTTTTATATTAGTTGCCTGTACGATAATCGGAATCTAACAATAAATTCAAACCTCCTGAATAAATTCTTTAATTAACATACAGATTTCCAGTATCTAAATTCTAGAGCAGGGGTGTCAAACTCAATTTCACTGAGGGCTGCATCAGGGTTGTGTTTGACCTTGGGGGACCAGGGTGGGTGTGGCCAGAGTGGGCATGGCCAGCTCAACATCACTCATGTTGGGGGCGCCTGTGGGGGCCCGAGTTCTCTGCCAGCAAAAATGGGCTCCCAAGGTCCGTTTTCGGCTGCAACAGCCTCCTATAACCCTCTGTCAACAACAATGGAGCTCTGTTTTTGTTGGCAGAGGCACCATGGCCCAGTCCTTCACTGTTTCCAGGGTGGCCCCACGGGCCAAATCTAAGCACCGGATCCGGCCCCCAGGTCTTGAGTTTGACACCTTTGTTCTAGAGGAAGAAGAGAAGAACTATTTTACTAATTCATTGTTAAAAGCCTATTGTGGTTCATCTACTAGTGAAGGCAGGATGATCAAATATAACATGGTAGGCAGTAGTCATTTCTGTTCATCTCCAACATCTCTATGCAAACTTTGTACATGGAGTTCCATTTAGCTTTTCTTAATCATAAGAACATTATCATAGATATGCCAAATTATTTCAAAATTATGCTAATGTTATGATGCACTGGAGATATAAAGCAAGAATCTGATCTTTTTTACAAAATCATCTTGTCACAGAAATGACAAGATAATTCATTTTTAATTTCTTTTAAAAATGCTGCAACTGGAAATATACATAAACTTTGTTCTCAGTTAAAAGTAAAAATAATCTGAATTTCCCCCTTCTGTCTGCTTTATTAAACCATCATTCAAGTTCATCACATTAAGATGTAAAACAAACTCACCTCGTGATCATGATTACTCAAACCAATGCAGATAGATCGGCTAGCCCTGGATATGACTGCAGTCATTGCATATATATTAATGACAATGTTTGCCACTTTTTTAAGAACCATCTGCTCATCCACAATAGTCTAGTATTAAAGAAAACGGTAATAAAGAATCACTAGCCATCATGAATCGTTATGCTTATAAACAAATACAGTAATATCGCCAAACTGATATGTGGTTAGTGAAAAAATGTCTTTTGTAGGCTATATTAATTTTGAAATTGTCAGATTATGGAAAACAACCACTGATTTACGTATAGCCTAAAATAGTGTTTTAGTGGAAGGAAACTTCAGACATTTAATTTACCTAGATTAGTAGGATGTGACAACAGAAAAGTGAGAAGAAAAAAAAGATTAAAAAATCCTCTGATTTATTATTCTGGTCAAGCCATGTTTACCTTGCCAAACCTCGTTAGTAAATTTTCAACTGTCTTTCCAAACTCAAAGACATTTTGTTCAAGTTTCTCAACACTTTCCTGCAAAGAAAAAAAAATAGATACTATATATTTTCAATACATACTCAACTTGAGACATGGACATAAAGTACATATTGGGTACTATAGTCATGACTGGATGACTTTTTGCAGTCTTGAATTTAATGACTCATATTATACACACAATGTAGATGGCTATTCAAAATCAATATATCTAAAACATAATTGATCTTTTGTTGGTTTGTTGATTTTAATACAAACAGGCTTTTTATTAAGAGAGTGTAGGTGGTCAACATCTTAAATATGTTAAAAAAAAACCAAAGCAGAGTTAATGCTTTGACATGGTTTTTGCAATGAGATAATGTTTTAAATTTCAAACCTTTTCTTTTTGATAGTTCTTTCCATTCTATTAAAAACCCAGAAAATATATTTGCTTTTTTGAACACATGTAGGCTGAAGAACTCATGGGGATCAGTGAAAATGACCTTGCTCAGCCAGTAACTTTTATCAGCTTTATACCTGCAGCCAGTTGAAATACACATTTCAAATAATTGTTCCTCATTCCATAAAAGGGTCGTTTAGCTCTTTTCACACGTCAAGTTCCATGTCTTCATTATTAAGCATAAATATGATACTGATACCAAGCAAGGAATGTGACATATAACTGAAACATTATAAGGCAGTTTAGTAAAGCAGTCCAACTGCAATTTGGTTTGCATTTACATTAACTGATACAGGATTTGGTAAATCCAAATTTGCATAGGTTTAACAATTTCTCAGTGAAACAATGAGTATCTAAACTTACACAAAACCCCCAATGTAAACACCAAATTGATTTTATCTTATTTATATCATTTAAAATGTGAATAGCAGGGGTAAAATAATTTGAAAAAAGGTTTCACTGATAGCAGCAAGAATTAAGCATACAAAAATTATCATGGAAAAAATACATTGAAGCTGGAAATCAGCTAAGTCAATTCAGTAAAAGTAGCTAGACAAAGAGATATCTTAAAGGGACTATACAAAAGATTACAAATCCGTTTTATATGGACAGTTCCAGGTTCTCCAGGCAAGTTTTCCAAGATGCAGGAAAGCTACTGGCAGCCAATTTGCAAGATGTACTTAACCAAATCAATGAAATATCAACTGTACCACGCAAACCCAGCAGTCGGCCATTTCCAGATTAAGATCCTGGCTGAACTAACCTCAAAGTACTCGCATTTAATGGTAATGTGACTCCAGGTAGCCAGGCTCAAAATTTCAAGAATAATCACAAATACTATGTTTCCTTGGTTGGTTAATTCTGCCCTATCCCCCAAAAAACCTCATCACCAGAAGCAAGGGATCATTTATGAAAAAAGCCCTTCATAGCTAAAAAAGCTATTCCCCCTTTAAGAAGGAACCACAGCAGCTAGACTGTGCAGAAGGAGGCAATGTCACCAATAAAGGACTAAATGGGCCAACAGTCAAAATGTATTTTTTCAATCTTAGCAACTTTAAAATGTGTGGACTTCAATTCTAATAGCATTCCCCAGCTACCATGCAGCCAGAAAATTTTGGAAATTGAAATCCATACATCTTAAAATTGCCAAGGATTGGAAAATACTAGTCTAAACTATGTAAAACCAAATGTATTTTGTTTCCTAAATAATAAATGGAAGAAGTTGGTATTGCACTATAAAGCCTGGAGGACTATAATACGCATATCATTTTTCTATATGGAACACTTACTTTGAGACTGGGATGAACTACTCCCCCATGTCCAATTAGTCCTATGCTTGGAGGCTTGCTGCCAAACAGCCTGCTCACAACCACATTCCACATCACTTTTGCGTTCCTTTTCTTGAATTCTCTGCGGAAGAATAATTGTATTAATTTAAATGGTGTGCCCGCGTAATATTGTGCATAATTGTCCTTTGTTTTTTCTTCACCTTAGTACCCATTTTATTCAATATTTGTTTGCCCTGCTTTTCATTCCTCCAAACTGCTGCAGCTTCAGTTCACCCTGGGTGGGGGTGGGTGGGGGTGGGGAGGGAGATGGAGGGCAGGGAGGCATCCTTATCAGCTCAGGAGCAGCAATGTGACAAGGGCTCTGCTCTGGGGGGGGGGGGAATAAAGACTCCTGCTTTTTTGGGGGGGGATATTCAGTGGCAAGAGGTTAAAAATGCATTTTAAGCTTCTACAAAACCTAAGGCAGTCCAAATCCAATGAATTAAAAGAAGTCAAATTGTCTTGGTTGCTGTCAAGTACCAAGACAAGTCTGGATTTACCAATTACCTACCAAATTGATATGGCTGCCCATCTTACATACAGTACGTTATTCTGGGTGTCTTACAATAATTAAGAAGAAAACATGAGTAAAACTCTATGAAAAAAACAAACAGAAATGAAGTAACAATACAATAATTGAAGTCATCTACAATAAATTCACAATATAAATCAGAGCTACGTTGGCCGCCTCTTACATCATGGTCTGGATTAGAAAGACCATGGCCTTCATTTCTTAATGCTTGCAATATTTGCAAACATGATACAGGTGGTCTTTGACTTACAACCATTTGCTTAGTGACTGTTCGAAGTTACAACGGCTCTGAAAAAAGTGACTTATGACCATTTTTCACACCTACAACTGTTGCACTTGCTGTGGTCATGAGCTCAAAATTCAGACTCTTGGCAAATGTATTTATGTATTTATGATGGTGTCATGTGATCACATTTTGTGATCTTCTGGCAAGCAAAGTCAATGGGAAAGCCAGATTCACTTAACTGTGGCAGAAAAGGTTATAAAATGGGGCCAAACTCGTTTAACAACTGTCTTGCTTAACAATGGAAATTTTGGGCTCAATTGTCATAATTCAAGAACTACCTGTGTAGGTAAAAATTCTGACATATAAGCTACTGCCGTATTAACAGAAACTGAATTCTCATCTGCAGCATCATTAGCTACCTTGAGTTTCCTTGATTACATACTCTTTCTACTGAATTGATGCCAATTCACAGCATCAATAGTTAAAGGACCAATATTACAAACACCTTTTGTAGTTTTAATCAAGTTACAATCGGCTTCGCTTTAAAAAGAGAATATTTGAAGCACAGGGTTGAAATGAGGGGTCCTTGGTGCTCTCTGACCTTGGCTGTTGCAGACATTTCATTATCCAAACTAGGTAACACCATCTGACCTAGTAAGACTTACTTTAAAATTATCCTTCCAGAATAATACAAATGGAGCATTATTAAAATGATCCATGAATGCAAGAAAAAAGCCTGAAGCATCCTTTTCCTTTAGTGCTGTTCCTACTGACCAATTTTCAATCTACATCCAGTATTAATTCATTTAATATGATTATTTCAAAAAATTACATACCTTATTTTTTCAGTTAAGATTTTGCCTGCATATTGTATGCCGGTCAAAGCAATATACATCCTCAAAACTTCATTTGTTCCCTGAAACAGAAACAGAAATATTTGAGCAATTTTAAATCTGTATTAAATATTGTATTTAATACACTTTAATTTGTCAACAGCTTGCAAAGCTACATTTAAAACTTGTACAAAGATTGGAACGGTTGTTATGATGTATTTTTTCTGAAGGCATTCATATTTACCTCAAAAATCATAAGTATCCTACAATCCCGGAGATAGCGTTCATACGGATAGTCTTTTATGTAGCCAAGGCCTCCAAGAATCTGCAGTGCTTCACTCACACAAACCCAAGAACCTTCTGAACTGAACACCTGCCCATAATCATAAGAAAAAAACCCTATTATTCTTATATTAGTGTTTTTAAAACTTAGATATATAAGAAGCACTTAGTTTAAGTTACTATTAAATTTTGTCATGCTAGTGGGATGAAGATGTCAAACCATATTTGGAATTATGAAAAGCAGCATGGTGGTTTTTTTTAAATGGGGATTTATTAGTAACTGCTGAACTGTACAGAATATGAAGATATGAGCTATTAATTTATTAGAACAATTTTGTCTCTTGCAAGTGTTCATAATAAAAATGCACTCATTTTAGACTTATGAACTAAGCAAACAGGATATGCTACCGAGTTATATGTATCTATGGAATATATTGATTTTTAGGGTGGCGGGGGTGGTGTTTTGTTTTTATTTTGCTTTCATCTGTTGAGTCGTGGTGGCACAGTAGTTAGAATGCAGTATTGCAGGTTAACTTTGCCCACTGCCAGGTGTTTGATCCTGACCAGCTCAGAGTTGACTCAGCCTTCCATCCTTCCAAGGTCAGTAAAATGAGGACCCAGACTATCGGAGACAATATGCTGACTCTGTAAATCACTTAAGCACTATGAAATGGTATACGAGTCTAAGTGCTATTGCTATTTGAGATACTTATACTGCTAGAAATTCTAGAATTCTCCAAATCTGATAGCGCCATCTTTAGTGCCATTTGAAAAGCAATATTCTGAGAACCAGAGTCATTTCTCAATGTTCTCATAGAATGAACGTTCTCTGAGCCTCGGTAGCGCAGTGGTTAGAGTACAGTACTGCAGACTACTTTTGCTGACTTGCCGGCTGCCAGCAGTTTGGCAGGCTCAAGGTTGACTCAGCCTTCCATCCTTCTGTGATGGGTAAAATGAGGACCCAGATTGTTGGGAGCAATATGCTGACTCTGTAAACAGCTTAGAGAGGGCTGTAAAAGCACTATGAAGCGGTATATAAATCTAAGTGCTATGGCTATTGCTATATACCATTCACATATACCAGCACATGAATAAAGCCAAACTAGTGGACACATAAGATATGTAAAGTCCCCCCCCCAACTGAATTTGAGTATATTTACATTAATTTGTGAAATACATTTCATTGATAATTTCTACAATCCTTCCTGCATTTGGGACTCTTTCTAAAACAGATGTCTCATTGGGGTTTATAGTCAACTTATGATGTAGGCAAATCTTGGTTCCTGGCATTCAATTGTTTTTATTTCAGTTAGATGTACAAAGTCTTGCAGTCACATCAAAGGAAAATTGAATTAATACAAGGGCTATCATTTAAGAAGCCAAACAAAAGTATTTAACTGTAATAGTGGAAAACAAAGATATCACAGATTTCTTGTGTTTGAACATTAGGAGAAATATGGTATTTCTAGCTTTACCCCAATATCTCAATAAAGCTTACTTTAACAATGGCAGCTTCAACAGAACAATCTGGGATTCCTGGCCTGTCCATCATTCCTGCAGTGAGATAGGCCATGCTTTCCATTACATAAGCGTTCCTAGCCATAAGGGCAAATTTCTCCTGAAAGATTCATTTAAAAATATCCATTATATTTAAATATTCTGCATACATTAAAAATAACATTAGAATTTCTTCCCCGTTTCATGATTTAATATGATATTCTTACAAACTTGCAATAATTCATTTTATTTACAATATTATCAATAAAGTCATATGTTTTAAACCAGAAACTGTTACAATTTGTTATTGCTCAAAGCAGGTTAAATTCCTTAGCATTTCTCAAATAAATTAAACAATTCCTTTTTCACCTGAATTAATCCAAATTCACTCAGCTTCTTATTGAATTGTTTTCTTGTGCAAGCATACTCTGCAGTCATCTCTTGAAAAAGTGAGAAAAGAAGGCAATTGAATAAGCCTATGTATTAGGACTGAATCTGAAAAGCAACATATTGTTTAAATGTGTCAATAAAAAGAAATTTAGAATTAAGATAACAAATGAAACTGACTCATGGACAATACGTACACTGAAATCCCAATTTAACTTTTGCATCAGTTTGTGGTACCATGAGTGCAGTGTCAATTGTTTTTATATTTACACATTTATATTGAGATCACTGATAGTAGTTACCATATTTTTCGAAGTATAAGACGCACTCCCCCCCTCTCAAAAGAGGGTGAAAATTTGGGTGTGTCTTATACACCGAATGTAGCCCTGCCCACCGCTGGCCCCTACCCTTTTGGAGGCTGCAAATGTAGCCTCCCAGAGAGCCTCTCAAGCAGAATTTTTTTTTCTTATTTTCCTCCCCCCAAAATAAAGTGTGTCTTATACTCCGGAGCGTCTTATACTCAGAAAAATGTGGTACATAATTTCACTAATGTGAAATATGATTACCATATTGTCTCATTTTAAACATTCATGTTTACCTCAGTTAAAATAAAAAAAAGGTTTTCAATGGCTTGCACATATTTTTCTTCCAAACAGTTGTATGAAGTAAGTAAACAAAGAACACTCTTTCTGAGTCCAGGACACAAAAAATTTGTAATATAATGTGTGCTCTGGAACAAAAAAACCTGTCTAATCATCTTAGGCAAATAAGTTCCAGAATATTGAATAAAAAGCAGGTAGTTGTTCCAAGTCCCCAAGTGACAGATATTTATGAGTCACTATTTATTTATTTATGTGAATAAATAAATAAATAAATCTCCTTTGTGTTTTGCTGAGTCTCCTTTCGGACTCAGCAAAACACAAACTTGTTTTCTCCACCAAACTTTGTGATTTTTATTAAAAATTATACATACAAGCAAACATATATCAGGACATTCTGAGAAATCTTAGACAGTGTCTCCTGCTTAGAACATCACCTCAAGACCCCAGGGTTTATCTAGCCTACAAAGGTATCACAAACTTTCTCTCTAGCTAACACCTTTCTCAATACTGTAACTTGCATCAGCATATAATTTCTAAAGAAAATACTATGTCAAAGTGATTAATAAGCCAAACTAATATTTATGAGGATATGACAGTAACCTTTGCACAAAAGGTCCTAACGCAAGAATTTGACAATCCAGAAGCCTAGCCTTACCAATCAGTTTCTTAAGCATTCCAGCAGAAGCACTGCCCATGCTAAATCTTCCACTGTTTAGAATATTCATTGCAACCTGAAATACAGATAGGAAAAGAAAACGCAAAGTTTTTCTCTCATAGTTCGCTTTTATTCAAAACCAAGAGTCAGTGTTATTTATTTAGCTGGAATTTTGGACAATTGATCATACTATCTTATGAAATTCATTCTCTAATGTCACCATGAAATGTACAGCATTATCTCTACATCTTACCTTAAACCCTCCTCCAACTTCTCCAATAACGTTCTCTATAGGAATTTTTGTATTTTCAAAGTGAACTTCACAAGCTGTAAGATTAAGAAGTATTCAACATTTTGCAATGCCCTTGAACATATAAACACAATTAAATCAAAAGACTTGAAGAAGATTTCAAGACTGGGAGTGAGGCCCAAGACTAATTATGGAGCTCACTATTCTAATTTCCAATTTAGACATAGCCTGTGGCTATTGCCAGCAGGACTATGTGTTATATTTGAAAATTACAATTAGATGCAGGTTCTCAATGAGGTGGATACCAGATATAAAAAGATTGCGATAATGAGAAGAGGTGTGTGTGCAATTCTATGACTCCAGATGCTGTATCCTGTGTTCAAGGCTAATTCCTTTAACAAAATGTGCTATTTAAAGAACTAGAATGTAATATTTTGGATTACATTACATATTAATTAACATAGATGCTATGAAAAAAGATGACCCCTGCTCTAGATTCTTATACAATAATAAACTAATATAAAGTGAGCTAAGAGCTGGTGTGAAATTAGTTGTCCTAAACATTATTTGTGTGGAATAAATGGTACAAGAAAGTCCATTCCCTATCATATGCTTATTCTCAATAGTAGATGTAATTGCACAAATCGTAAATTACATTGAGTTTCTGATACAATGTTATTTTCAGCAGGACAAAGATCACAAAAGGAGATAAAAATAAATGTGGCATATGAAATCCCACCATCTACCACTAACTTCAGTTAATGAAGGATACAGCTTACGGAAGAGGATAATGGCAGTGGGATTTTACTTGTAAAATCATAAACTATTCTAAATGCAGTTACAAAGTAAAAAATGGTGAATGCGATCACGCAACTAACATTTTTCAGAAAATATATGCATATGAATACTTTTTTGCCAATTAAAAAAAATCTGTCCCAGACATTTATGAAAAAGTTGTTGACAAAAACACTGGAATTGCTTTCAAGGTTTAGTAAACAATTTGCGCTTGTAAATTCCACTATAATGTGAATATAATTCTTACTATTAGATCCACGTATCCCCAGTTTATCCTCTGCTTTTCCATTAGTGATTCCACCAAAAGCTCTTTCTACAATAAAAGCAGTAATTTTGTCTTTGAATGCACCATCTTCATCAACCACCTCAGTTTTTGCAAACACAGTAAAGATATCTGCAATACCACCATTGGATATCCATATCTGCAATTGAAAGAAAAGAACATATTTTATGTTCCACTCAGAAGAAACATGAAAATCACTACACTAAATATGTATGAACTGATAGGCAGATGTATCTTTAGTATTCATTCCTAGCATGTTTTCTGAAATAATCACCTAAGGGCGAATACAGATCTGACAAACTGGATTCAACACAGGGAAATGAATCCTTTTTAAACACTAAATAGCTAGAAACTTCACACAAAAGAAAAGCACCTTTGGATACACTTTCTTTCTTATTAGGTTATTTTAGTGTTTGTGCAGCTCGTTCTTTTTGTAAAAAAGGCTGATCTCATCCAGCTAGCTTTCTCTTTAGAAACGTAAATCACATTGGTTAAATTGACATTGACAAAGTGGTCCGTTCTGTACCTTTGAACCATTTAACAGGTAATGCTTTCCATCTTCACTCAAAGTGGCTCTGGTCTGAATGGATGCGGCATCACTTCCACTGAAATACAGGTAAACCAGGAAAATGGGATTTGGTAGCTGAATTGAGCTATGGAACTCAAAATCCTTTCCCTCTCCAGAGAAATCTAAATCTGAAAAGGCTACGTATTATTATGCTTCCAAATGTTTAAAATAATTCCTTAAAATGGTTCTTAAATTGCTCTTTTGAGTAACAACAAATGTCTGCTTAAAGCAGTGTACACCCAATAGAAAGACAGGCAAACAAATCTGTACAGAAAGATGGTCACTGTCAGATATTCTCACACAGCATAAGTGGCAACAGCTTCCCCACCTTGCCTGAAGCTTCTACCCACAGAAGAAAACTAGCTAGCTTTGCTCCCACATGAGGGGGTTTCTCAAAATGGACAGGGTGGCCTGCATTCATTCCAAACTCACTATGCCTTGCTCTTAGTGAGAGCTTGTAATTTGGGCTTGTAATATGCTTTTGTGACTGTCCTGGCCATTTGTAAAAAAAAAGCAGCTTACAAACTCTCCAGACCATCTATCAGCTAGTTTTGGAGAAACTGACATGGGGAAGAGACTATTATCTCCCCTTGAGTAAAAGCAGGGCGGCAACATTTCTCCTGTCTCCCTTTCACCCTCTTGCTTTTATCATTCAACAAGCAAGGAGCTTCCGTGAAAGGCACAATAATTGTGTGCATGCCCTCCGGCTTCTCTCTCAAATATTTGTCATATTGGAGCAATTCCAGTAAGAAAAATGTAATTACATATGCAGACATGGTTCATTCAGATTCAAAGAACAGATTAAAAACACAACAAGAATTACAGGTAGTCCTCCACTTACAACAGTTCGTTTAGTGACCATTTAAGGTTACAAGGGCACTGAAAAAAGTGACTTATTGTGTTTCCCCGAAAATAAGACCTGGTCTTATTTTCTTTTAGGCCCTGAAATAAGCACTAGGACTTATTTTCGGGTGTTGTCTTACTTTTTTTTAGTGCCACCGCTGCAATGCGGGGGGGGGAGCTGCCCACGCACACACTAGCTTACTTCAGGCCCCCCGTGGTTCCACATTCCAACAACTGCTTCACGGCAGCAGCACTAGCAGCCATGTTAAGCAGGTGTCCATGTGGCAGCTGGCCCACTGCTTCCAGCACCGGTGCGGCACCAGAGCAGGAAGCCAGCGGTGCAGCCAGGCCATCCACACCCCAACAACTGCCTCGCCTCATGGCGGTGGCCGTTTTCTTGCAGCACTGGCATGGCACTCGTGCGTCGTTTGGCCTCTTGTGGTGCCGCGCCAAAAAAAGTGGGCTGCCACAGCCAATTCTTAATTGGAAATCTTTCTCACCAGGGATCAATCTCATGTAGATAAATTTAGTCTTTTAATAAATTTATTACAAAAAATGCTACCTTCCTGGTTCTGTGAGGCAAAATGCTGCAATGTGCTGTCCAGAAGCCAGTTTAGGTAGATACTTTTTCTTCTGTTCCTCAGTGCCTGCAATCAGGAGCCCCTGCCAACAGCAAACAAATAAACCAACCAGTCAGACAGGGAAACATTTTTGAATTATAGGTATTGAGATCATAGGAATGAATTATTCCCGAGGGCCCTGTCATTCCAGGAAGTGATATTTCAAGTGTCATGGCTTCATGCTTTGCAAGTTTTCCTAAACTAGCACAACACCTGTTTCCAGAAATTATGAAATGAAAAGGGCATTGATGTGATGACCATTTAGTCAGGTAATGAAAGCAACTGCATGAAGAGTTAACATAAACTCTTCAGAAAACTGTAAGAATTAGTACATACTAAATTTTAAAACTTCTCAAAAGTTAAATGTATTTATCTAAATTGAATTATGTCCATGAATATATATACATTCAATCCCTGCTGCCCGGAACTGGCTGAAAATACGATGTGCAGAAGCTGAAAACGTGACGCGCGGAGGCAATGATCAGCACCGATGTGCTGTAGTGATCCTGGCAGCCTGGAATGAGTCTAAAATGGAGCGTACGGAAATGTGATGCACGGAGGCGAAAAATGCAACGCGCAGAGACGGTGATGGGCTGTGGCAGTCCCTGCAGCCTGGAACAGCTGATTGGCAGTATTCCGGGAGGCCGATCCAACTGCCAATCAGCTGCTCGTGCTGAATCAGGCTGTGATAACGTGCTGAAGCTGACCAGGCTGTTTGCTGTTTGCTGCAAGGACGCTAGCCAGATGAATACCAATGGATGCTGGTAGGCAAAGGCAGATTTTTTTTTCTTGTTTTCCTCCCCAAAAACTAATGTGCGTCTTACACTCCGGAGCGTCTTATACTCCAAAAAATATGGTGTGAGTGAGTGTGTGTGTTAGGGTTAGTGTATGTGTAGTGTGTGTAGTGTATGTAATGTATACGTATATTTATATTATCTTTTATCTTCTCCATATTTGAAGCATTGATTCTTACGACATTAGATAAACACAAATGTATACATTAATAAAGAAAGATTACCTTTAGCCCTATAGCCTGATGAGCTGCCAAAGTTACGGCAATGGATCCATCTTGAGAAGTTATTTCTCCTAGACGGGCATACATTGTATTTGAAAGGCCAAGGCCACCTGAAAAAGATGTGGTCAAACAAAAGAAATTTGTCTGCTACACCAAAATTAAATAAATTTGCTTTGTGATTTTTAAAAATCTTTTAAATCAATTGAGATCTGTTTTCTTAGAAAACACTGTGTTTATAAAAGTAAAGGAAAAGGAAATATTGCACCAAAAAGGGGAAAGAAAGACAAGAGGAGGAGAGGGAGAGGGAGGAATGGAAGAAAGGGGAAGGAGAGGAAGAAAGGATAGGGGACAAGAGCAGGAGAGAAGGGGAGAAAGGGGGAAAAGAGGGGAGGAGTGGGGGAGAGGAAGGGGAAGTAGGGGAGGAGAGGAGAGGAGGAGGAAGAAAGTAGAAGAGGAGAGGAGGGAGGGAGGGGAAAGAAAGAAGAAGGAGAAGGTTTGTTGTGAAAAGAGGGTAGAAGAGCAACCCCAAATGTAATTAAAATGTCTTATTTTTATGCTTTCGTTAGAAAAAAATATATGTATATATATGATTAATTATGGATAGGAGAATGTACATTTACAATATGTGTATAAGAAATAAAAATAAAAATCTTTTTTAAAAAAATCATTGACCCTGTTTGGGATTGCCTTCTATGCATTGATTCAGTTGCAGGTCCAGCCTTGGTCTCCGTACCTGTTGGAAGCTCTTTAAAACTGTAAATCTTCTCCTGAGATTGACAGGAAAAATGTACATCATATATACTTGTGAATAAGCAAACATTTTAGTTCCAACCCTTCCCCACCACATATACACCCACAATTGTGCTTGGCTTATCCCCAGATGGGCTAATCCATGAGTGTATACTGCAATACTTTTTAAAAGTGTCTGTTTGTCTTTCTCTCTCATGGATAATCCATTGATTACTTATAAGTAAGCCAACCATAGAAATTTAAAAAATTGGGCTGTCCACAGGTGGCATATTTTTATGGTATTTTGGTTAAAAATCTGGAGATCAGTTTATCCACAGATGGTTTTATAAGCAAGTATATATGGCACTTCTTTTAAAGAGTTGCAGAAAAGTTCTGTCTTCATGTCTCAACAAACTGAATCACTGTTTCAAAGCACTGTTCTGCAACTGAATCTTACACAAAGCGTAGTCTTTTTCCTTAAGCTCCTAAACAGAAATATAGCCAATTTTCTGTCAAGACTTGTTTTCAGTGGTGGTATTCAAATAATTTAACAACCGGTTCTCTGCCCTAATGACTGTCTCGATGGGCATAGCCATGGCAGCACTCGGCCTCCTGCACCCCCTGGGAGAAAAAAATGGCCCATGGGGGGTGGGAATGCGCTGCACCCCCGCGCCCCGTTTTGGGCCTAGTAGGCCACCCTGCAGCCTCCTGGAGTGAAAACGGGGTGCGTGGGGACTCCTGGAAGGGGCAATTTAACTACCGGTTCATTGAACCTGCCCGAACTGGCTGAATCCCACCACTGCTTGTTTTTCATAAAATATTATTTTAAACCTGTTTTCATTTTGTTTCACCAATATAAAACAACTCTACATAGGGGTTTATTTTTCATACACCTGCCATGAAGACTCCAAAGCCTTATTCTATAATCGTGCTTTCATTACCAGCTATGAAATAAGACTACTGTATCCATCAATGGTTTGTAAGTCCAGGTGTCTAGGCAAGAGACAAAAAGATGTGGAACATCTTATGATTATATATGCTAATTTGTGTAAAAGTGTATTAAGCTGTTTCCTGAAAGAATCATGTTCTTTTGAACAATGCTACTAGTAATAATAACAACTGTAAGTGAAAATTTCAACTTTACTAGCCCCAAAATATTACAGAGCAACAGCACTACTACATCAGCTCAAACATACATCAAAATTTTAAATCTACAAGGAAACAATTTCCACAAGAATTTCTACAAGAATTTCAAAGTCTTGGAGGTAAATAATTAAAAATCCATACAGGAGGAAACTAAACTAAACTAAACTAAACTAAAAAAATATGTAAATATATATAAGTAAATGTGTAAATGATCAAAGTATTTCTTGCTCCAAAAGAGGAAAAAAAAAAAAAAAACCACATTCATTTTCACTCACCATATTCCTCTGGTATCTGTATGCCAAAAAGGCCCAGACTTTTCAGCCCATTAAGAGTTTCTTGTGGAATTTTAGCATCTTGATCAATTTTCTTAGAATCCACTAATGAACATGAGAAAACCATAGTAACTGATTGATAATTAGATAACTCAACAGTTAAGATATTTTAGCAAACAATCACAACCGAAGCAAGCTTGTTCATTCTATTTTAGTGACTTAAACTTAGTTATGAAGTTAGCAAAGGATATATGACAGGCATAAGTCATTTTATGGCCCCCTTTGGCTCTCTCTCTGGATCACATGAGGTCAATTGGAAATTAGAAATCAAATGTAAATAAGATGTAACATATATTCTTATCAGTAGCAGCTAATCAAAGCCATATAATTTGCTACTTTTTATAAAGTGATAACATTAACATTGAGCAGAATTAAACTCAGCTTATTGGTTCAGCCCTTCACAGCCCAGTTTCTTAGATGGCTCTTTGGAAAAATTAATTGCCCACTCCTGATTTATGTGAATATCCTTTCTTTTGTTTTGGCATTATTTCTCCAGCTGTTCACAACCATTCTGGTTTCCATATTTCAGCTAAACTTAGGAGAACCTGAAGGTACTTTTCTCTTTGGTAGAAATATTTATTTATTTATTTATTAGTCCAATTTATATGCCGCCCTTCTCCGTAGACTCAGGGCGGCTTACAATGCATTATAGCAATAGCCTGCATACTTTTTTGTATATACCTGCTTATTAGGGCTTTGCCCCCGCTACCAAGCAGTGTTGTTCTATACAAAGTTGGCTTATTGCCCCCACAATCCGGGTCCTCAATTTACCTACCTCAAAAGGGTGGAAGGCTGAGTCAACTTTGAGCCTGGTGAGGTTCGAACTTGCACTAATTGCAGGCAGCTGACAGCTAAGTGCTAGCACTTAACAGCACTTTAGTCCGCTGCACCACCGAGGCTCTTACCAAATAAACCTCAAAATTTTAAAAAATATGTCCCAAAATGCCATCAGTAAACATTTGAAATAATTTTTCAAACACTCAGAGAATAAAGGAGGAAAAAACGGTAACTTTTTGAAAAAATACAAATGCAGGCTCCAGCACAGCATTAACAAAACTCCTTAATATGATTCTTGCTATTTTTCACTTTTTGCTAAAAAATACAGATAAGCAACCTTGGACGTTTCCTTGTTAGTATTATATTTTATTTTTATATTTGGCATGGTGAAAAGCCTTTCAGAAAAAGATTTTAAAAAGTCTTGAGGAGGGTAAAAGTATACCTTCTTCCCTGAAGAATTTTTCCACTGGCGCTACGAAGTCATTGATTTCTTGCAATTCTTCATTATTAATTTCAGGATAAGGAAAAACTTCCTTCTGAAATGACAGATTTTCATGATTTGTTTTGTAAAAAAAAAAAGTTGTTTATGGTGTTCAAACAAATGGGCAGGGTCATTTAGGTGTTTGAGTTCAGTTTCCTGCAAGTCAGCTGATGGCAAGGCATTCCATGGCATTTTCCTCATGGCAGCCTTAAGCTTCTTTGGTCCCATGTGGGGTCTGATTTAAAGTATATCAGCTTAAAGAAATGTTGACTGTACTCTGAACCCCTATTCTGGCACAACAACAACAACAACAACAACAACAACAACAACAACAATTTTATTTCTATACCGCCCTTTTCCCGAAGGACTCAGGGCGGTGTACAGCCAATTTAAAAACATAAGACAAAACAATGATTAAAAATTAAAATAATTAAATAGATTTGGCCCAATTTAAAACCCTGAAAATTTAAAATACCCCAATTTAAAATTATTATGTTGATAGCCCGGCCTGGCGGAACAACAGGGTCTTCAGTGCGCAGTGAAATACCCGGAGGTCGGAGATCTTACATATTTCCGGGGGCAGTTCATTCCACAGGGCTGGGGCTCCCACAGAGAAGGCCCTCCCCCTGGGTGTCACCAGCCGACATAACTTGGCTGATGGCACCCTGAGGAGACCCTCTCTGTGGGAGCAAACTGGCCGGTGGGAGGCTATTGGTGGCAGAAGTCGGTGTCGAAGGTACCCGGGTCATGGAGCGCTTTAAAGGTGATGACCAACATCTTGAATCGCACCCGGAAGACCACTGGGAGCCAGTGCAGCTCGCGCAGGAGGGATGTCACACGGGCACAATGAGTTGCACCCATAACCACCCGCGTGGCCGCATTCTGGACCAGTTGGAGCCTCCGAGTGCTCTTCAAGGGGAGCCCCATGTAGAGAGCATTACAATAGTCCAGCTGGGAGGTGACAAGGGCGTGAGTGACCGTGCGCAAGGCATCCTGGTCCAGATAGGGCTGCAACTGGCGAATCAGGCGAACCTGATAAAAGGCCCCCCTGGCCACAGCCGTCATATGGTCTTCTAAAGACAGCTGTGCATCCAGGAGGACACCCAGATTGCGAGCCCTCTCTGTGGGGGGCAAAGATTCACCCCCAATAGTCAGCGATGGCACCTGCTGACTATATTGGGACGCCGGCAGCCACAGCCACTCGGTCTTGGATGGGTTGAGTCTGAGCCTATTTCTCCCCATCCAGACCCGCATGGCCTCCAGGCAGCGAGACATCACATCAAGGGCATCGTTGGGGTGGAGATGTACAGCTGAGTATCATCAGCGTACAGATGATACTTCACCCCAAAACCACGGATGATCTCACCCAGCGGCTTCACATAAATGTTGAACAGAAGGGGCGAGATGACTGACCCTTGTGGCACTCCCCATGCGAGGTGCCTCGAGGTCGACCTCTGCCCCCCTGCCAACACAAACTGCGAGTGGTCGGAGAGGAAGGAGGAGAACCATCGCAGAACGGTGCCCCCTATTCCTAACCCTGTCAACCGCTGCAGCATAATACCATGGTCGATGGTATCAAAAGCCACTGAGAGATCTAATAGGACTAGGACAGAGGAACAACCCCTGTCCCGAGCCCTCCAGAGATCCACCAACGTGACCAATGCCGTTTCTGTGCTGTACCCCTGCCTGAAGCCCGACTGGTACCGGTCTAGATAGATGAAGCAGAAGTCTGCCTGTGTGGGCATGGTGAAGAGAGGTTGGCTGTGAAATATCTTCTTTTGTGCCAGCTTTTGTACAGAAAACCAATTTGTTGGAGAAGGCTTGGGCAAATGTGAATGGCTGGACTTGTGTAAGTGGGTGCCTGAGATGGAAGCATCAGCCTGCTTTCAAACTGGTCAAGTGACAGATTGTTTGTGCAGAGGTGCTCTATTCTGGTAACTCCTCACAACATGGTCTTTTTCTGAACTATTTCTGGTCTATTACTCTCCTCAAAATGCAACATAAACCATCTGCCAGTCCGCCAGTCTTCTGTAAGACTGAAAAACCTCTATTTCCAAACAGACCACTTGACAGTTTGATGGGAGAGGAAGGATGTGGACTAAAGCTCCCAGGAGTGCTGCAGTCTACCAACCCACAACCTGGCCTATCTTTGGATGGAGGTATACCAATATTTCAAAAGACTAGTACACAGTTTTATTATTCTACAGTTTTATTATTCTGCTTGGGCTAGAAGGAGAAACTAGCAGAACTCCTGTTAATTTCACCTCTGCTCCCAAATATCCAAAACTAGATAAGTGTCAGACTTTGCAAGTGATTATAATGCCAAGAAATATGCTATAAAGTTTAGGCATTGCTTCTCTGTCATGGAAGTGAAACATGCAGATGAATCCATAGCTCTGAAAGATTTTACTTACCATACCTATACAGATGATGAATAATTTGGGTGATAGACAATCCTATGATATAGTTGCTATGGAGTTTAAATGCCTGCCCCATTCCCCACAACCAGCACCAATTTCTGGAGATGGCATAACAAGGAGTTCTAAAACCATGGAAAGTTGAGAGCACCCACACAGAACTCAATTCTCCGCACAATGATACTACTGTTAGTATGAAAAGTTTCTGAAAGTTTCAAAAGAATGAACAAATGTATACATTCAATGTTCTTTTCCCAGTGAAGGTCATCCAATAGAGTGACCAAGATTGTTTTAGTGCCAAATCTAGGACAAAAGCCTTATTGAAACAAACCTTGAAAGCCACAAGCAAGAATGAACAGAACTGATCTATTCTTTGCTTCAGAAGGTATATTCCTCAGTTATAACTACTTAGATCTGAATACAGCGATGATTCTTATTGGTCTCTGGTGTTTCTAAAATCTTTTTGAAAGGCTACATAATTGCTTAGACCAAGCTGGCCAGCCCTTCCTTACTAATTTGATATTAAACAGAAAGACTGAGCAATATTTAAAAGTACTTTGTAGATCTTTGCCTCAAGAAGTGATTTTGTCTGGGCTCAGAAATTAAGCAGAGACAGCCTTGCTTAGTATCTGAATAGAAGATACCGTATTATGTTGGGAAAGCAAAAAACTGAAGGAAACAATGGCAAACATTTTGTACCATTGCAAGAAAATATGCTTAGAGTTTACCAAGTTCACTAAGCCAACATTTAGATTTTGGTATAGAAATATCCTTCCAGAAATATGTAATTACCTTTTTTATAACAAATCTAACACCATATATCTAAAATTCTTCAAAAATTGAGAGCACCAATTTTTAGAAAATAGTTTGATAATACATTAATATAAAGGTAAAGGTTCCCCTCGCGCATATGTGCTAGTCGTTTCCAACTTTAGGGCTCATCTACGTTTCAAAGCCGAAGAGTCAGTGCTGTCCGAAGACATTTCCATGGTCATGTGGCTGGCATGTCTAAATGCCAAAGGTGCACGGAACACTGTTACTTCCCACCAAAGGTGGCCCCTATTTTTCTACTTGCAATTTTTACGTGCTTTCGAACTGCTAGGTTGGCAGAAGCTGGGACAAGTAACGGGAGCTCACCCCATTATGTGGCACTAGGGATTTGAACCGCTGAACTGCTGACCTTTCGATCGACAAGCTCAGCATCTTAGCCACTGAGCCACTGCGTCCATTATTATACATTAATAATAATACATTAATATATTGACCCTTAATTTCCCTCTAGGAATCCAGTTCTCTATAGTAGTAATATCTAACTCATAAGAAAGTTACCAACAAAGGATAATATTTGTAGCCACCTACAAAATTACAAGACAACTAAAGCCCTTCAAAACGTCCTAAGTAAACTAAAAGACCCAGCAGCCCCAGAAGAAAAAACAGGAGTCATTTACACATATAGTGTAATGACTACAACAGCCACTATGCAGAACAAACAAGCAGAAGATTGACAGAACGCATCCATGAACACCAACTGTCAGATGTCATGATGAAAACTTTTGAATTTAACTACATATGAACTGACTTAACCATAGTTTCAATTGGGAAACTGTGAGCATCCTAGACTAAGCCAAGTCCAAAAATGCTAGGGAATTTTTAGAAGCCTAGCACTCTGGCAAATTAACCATCAATAGACACATAGACATAAACAACTACATACTATGCAGAAGAGACAATCAGCAAGCTAAAAGGGGAACAAAAAGACCCCAAACACCTCTCCACCAGCAATCAGCACCCAGATGAGCATAGATTCATGATTAACATCAGACCAACAATCAAGTAAATAATACCCCAATCAAGAGACTACCAAACAGTAAATAGCTCAGCCAAAGAACTTCCAAGACACCCACCAACACTGACAGCACAAGCCACTAGACTAGAAGTCTAGTCTAGTCTAGTCTGAGAGCAAACTCCACCCCCTACTAGCACTGATAATGTTACCTAGTTTGGGTAATGAAATAAATGTCTGCAAGAAAACAATCAAGCTCAGGGAGCACCAAAGCCCTGTCATAAGAAAGTTAACCTGTGCACTAGGATTCCTTCAGATTTATTCATCCCATGCATAGAAAGTAGAATAATTAAATGTTTTAAACATTCATTGAAAGGGTACAATAAATCCCCTTCCATTTCCCCCTCCCCCATACTTTTGGTGGACTAACCAAGTTTTTAAGCAATATAAAGCAGGGGTTTATACTGCCCCAGGTGTCGTCATGGTGGTGTCACATGACATATCGGGACTTTTCCCCACTTCGCTAAACCGGGTGGGGGCAGAGCCAGTACGTGACACATCCGGCCCGCAGGCTATGAGTTTGACGCCCATGGTATAAAGCAACTAACATTCCTTAAAATCCGAAGCCATCAATTGTGTAATATGGGCTACTCCAATTCTTTATTCCAAAGTTCTTATCATTGTAATTTTTTTTCTAAACCATGTTACTGTATATTTATTAAATTTATATTTGTTTATTTATTATTTATTAAATTTATATACCACCCAACTCTGGGCAGCTTACACCATAAAAACAGGAGTAAACATAAGGGTCCTTAATATCCTATTATCTGGCTAATACAATATTACAAATTGAAATGTTCTTATCCATCAGGTAGAATATATTCCTGGGGATTGGCTGCTGAATGTTAAAGAATGTTGGAATAGCAGGTTTTTCAATGCTCTCCTGGCTCAGTTGGGCCTTAAACATTTTTACAAAAATGACGTTTCTACAGAAATCTTCAGGATGCATTTTTATAATGTTGCATAATGTTGCTGTGAATCTTTGCATAAAGTTTATTTGTTCATTCATTTCAATATATTTACAGGTCCTCTGTGAACTACTACTTGTTCAGTGACCATTCAAAGTTACAAAGGCACTGAATGACTGGTACTTATGACCAGTCACCTCAGAGTTCTGGATGTCCAAGAACTTCAGCAGTCACATGATTGCAATTCAGAAACTTGGCAGCCTCCGAGGGAATGGGAAAGGCTGTTTTCGCCTTCCGCAGATACATAGGATCTGGAGCCAGGTAAGAAAGAAAAATGGCCCTACCCGGCCATCGCGTGCGGGGGGGGGGGGGGGGGGGGGGGGTGTTGCGCGCACATGCGCAGGGCAGGGCACTTAGAATTATGGGTGTGGGCATGCCCCCCCTCTCCTGGCACGTGATAGCAAAACGGTTAGCCATCACTGACCTATAGCAGCACCACCTGCACTCCATAGCATATGCCCGCTTACGTGGTGCCAAAGGAGCCACCTGTAGGCCTTCCTGCATCTTACAGTAGTCATTCCTATCCTAGCTGCTATCTTAGCCTTCCCATACCAGAACTTACTTGTCCACTGGCCTGCTTGTGAGTCACCTGAGAGTTGCAACTTACTGCCAGTTCCTCATTGACTTTACTTGTTGGAGTTGGCAGAAAGTTGTGAGGAAATCCATGCTTAAAAACCATAATCCTCATTTAATAATGGCAAAAGGGACTGTTGTAATTAGCATTCTTAAGTGATGCGATCACTTGACATGCTTTATGACTGTATCAGCAATAGAAATTCCAATCCCAACTACCATTGTTAAAGAAAGACTATCTGTATTTATCTATTTATTTATTTGTATTTATTATTGAACCATTACTGGTTAATAAATTGATTGGCCATCTGAGTGGATTCTAATAAAAATCATCATGAAATTATATAGCACTAGCACTTAGTCTTATATACCGCTTCATAGTGCTTTACAGTCTTAAGCGGTTTACAGAGTCAACATATTGCTCCCAACAATCTGATCCTCATTTTACCGATCTCAGAAAGATGGAAGGTTGAGTTAACCGTGAGTCTGGTGAGATTCGATCTGTCAAACTGCTGGCAGCCGGTGATCAGCAGAAGTAGCCTGCAGTACTGCACTCTAACCACTGCACGACTGCGGCTCATCTATGCGTGGATCCCTCCCTTCCCAAACGTAGCTTCAGTTCATTTATTTCAAGTTGCTACCATATCTAACGTCTACAAGTAGTCCTCAACTTACGACCACAATTGAGCCCAAAATTTATGTTGCTAAGTGAGAAATTTGTTACGTGAGTTCTGCCCCATTTTGCAATTTTTCTTGCCGCATTTCTTAAATAAATAACTTCAGTTGTTAAATTAGTATCACGGTTGTTAAGTCAATCTGGTTTCCTCATTTACTTTGTCAGAAGGTTGCAAAAACTGATCACAAGATCCCAGCACACTGCAACCGTCGCAAGTGTGAGACAGCTATCAAGCATCCGAATATAAATCATGCGACCGTGGGGATGCTGCAACCATTGTAAGTGTGAAAAAATGGTCATAAGTTACTTTTTTCAGTGCTATTACCTTCAAACAGTCATTAACCAAACTGTTGTAAATCGAGAACTAGCTGACCAGAGCTACTGCCTAAAATTACAAACTTTGAGATCTGAGTTTGACAGGAAACACCAGAGAGAAGGAAAGGTGTTTTTTTTTTCTATCTTTAACTTGAGAATCCCAAAGGTGCTTTTTCAAGAGGCAACTGGACTTTCTGATTTTTCTTTGAAGGTGTTTCTCTTCTCATCCAAGAAGCTCCTTCATCTTTTGGATGAGAACCGGAACGTCTTCAAAGAAAAACCAGAAAGTCCAGTTGCCTCTTGAAAAAGCACCTTTGGGACAACCATGACCTGGATGACGGAGAATCTCCATAGGCATCTAACTTGAGAGACACCACCCGCAGTTAAAAAGCCAAGGGATTCCTGAGATGCTGGAAACCTGGGTCTTCCCTTAAACCCCCAAGGTCCCCCAGCCCAGGGAAACCGCGAAGCTTTCGGCGGCCTCACCTCTTGGAAGTTCCCCAGGAAAAGCTCCTTAACAAAAGCGGGCCGAGGGCAGCCGGTGCGAAACAGCCTGGCCCCGGGTGGGAGCGCCGTTCGCGCCGCTCGCAAAAGCAAAGCGAGCCCACTCATGTCTCCAGCAAGCAGCTCCTTCTCTTGGCACCGACGGCGAGGAAACGACCGGCGCACGTTAATGACGTAACGTCGAATGGCCCGTTCCAAGGCAGCCCACGTTGCCCGCACCCGCACGTGAAGAGGCGGTGGGAAGGTGCGCGAAGTTCAGACGTCTAGCGCTGATGTACGAACGGATGGGAAGGGAAGCAGGGCGAGCTTTAGGCTTGTGTGGAAATGAAACCTAGATTTTGGATCTGCAGCGGTTGATTTTGACTTTTGCTGCAAAACCTTTTGGAGGCTTCTCGGCTCCATCTCATTTTAGCTGTTGTAAAAGAGTCGTAGAACAGCTGTCTGTGGCGTATTAGCAATAGCACTTAGACTTGTATACCGCTTCACAGCGCTCTCTAAGCGGTTTACAGAGTCAGCCTATTGCCCTCAGCATTTGTTCAGCCTGTCTCGAAGCATTCTGAATGTTTGATCTTTATTTATTCTTTATTATTACATTTTCTCACGTCCTTTCCCTCCCAGAACTGGGAATCGTGATGTTCTGTATTTACATTTGCACTAACGCCAACGCCTTTCTCACGTCATTGGTTTTATGTCTTCAGTGGTTCGTTTTGTGCTATTTTATTTATGTGTTGTATTTCCTAATAGTAAATTAAACAAACAAACAAACAAACAAAGGAGCAGCCTGAACTTGCTTTTTCGTCCCTGTCTCAAAAATAAATAAATAAAAGTAAGGCTTATAGTAAAGTAGGTCTGCTTTGGACTGTTATAGTGTATTGAATCCTAAATTTGTGGTTCTTAGGAATGCGAGATAGTTTCTGTCTGGTTGCTTGACTCCACAACTCTAGGCACTTTACAGTTTTGTAAAAAACATGCATAAAGGAAATAAATATTATAGCTGACCGGGAGACAGAATTGAAACCAAAACGGTTCAACCCATGAGCTGGGAAAACAACGAGGTATCTGACAGTTGTATTTAACATGTTACAGTGTGCTCAATTTTTCTTGTAGAAGTAATCAATTTGGAAGAGTAATTTTTAGCAGAAAAAGTGCGAACGTTTTCTATTACAGCTTTCTGTTAACAAGTTTAGTATGAGATAATTGTTCTTCCTTCTGTTACTCGAATATTTTGAAACTTTATTTTCTTAATGATCTATTTTGAGATAAAGGTAAAGGTTCCCCTTGCACATATGTGCTAGTCGTTCCGACTCTCGGGGGCGGTGCTCATCTCAGTTTCAAAGCCGAAGAGCCAGCGCTGTCCAAAGACATTTTTAAAATGTATTTTGTATTTATGTATTTTTAATGTATTTTATGTATTATGTATTTTGAGATATATAAAACCATATTTTTAAATTATCTATTGTTTGGTGATTCATCCTTTTAAATAAGAGTTAACCTATTTCAACAACATTTATTAAGAGATTTCCATATATTATTCAGAACAGAGAACTAAAATTAATTTTATGATTAAATGACTAAAAAGCTGTCTTTCAGTTTAATGTGATGCTTTGTGTAAGTCATATCTTCACACTGTTCAATTAACAAATGTGATTTTTTTCTCACCATTTAATAATAAATTCTTTGATAGCCAAACTAAAAATCTCATCTTTGTTCCAATTTTTAGAGAGAGAACCAGAGTGCATATGATAAATTTTTTTCATTTATTTCACAAAATATTTGCAAAAATGCATAATTAAAAAGTACAGTGGGCAGGAATGTTAGAAAAGTGGTCAATGGAAAAATACACATATATTCATGGGAAAAATAAATTTCCAGTTTTGAAAATATTGATGCAATTATTAATATATTGATCTCAGTGACTTGATGGATTTCTGTTGTTGTTTCATAAAATATGATTACAGGTAGTCCTCAATTTAGAACCTTTCATTTAGTGACTATTTGAAGTTTACAGTGGCACTGGAAACAATGACAGCAATAGCACTTAGACTTATATACCGCTTCACAGGGCTTTTACGCCTCTCTCTAAACAGTTTACAGAGTCAGTATATTGCCCCCAATAATCTGGCTCCTCATTTTATCAAACTCTGAAGGGTGGAAGACTGAGTCAATCTTGAGCTGGTAAGAATCGAACTTTGGCAGTTGACAGAATTAGCCTGCAATACTGCATTCTAACCAATGAATAGCTCTCTCATGACCATTTTTCATACAATCATTGCATGTCCCCATGGTCATGTGATCAAAATCCAGACTTTTGGCAACTGGCTCATTTATGACACTAGCAGTGGCCTGGGCTCATGTGATCATCTTTTGTAACCTTCTGACAAGCAAAGTCAATGGGGAAGCCAGATTCTCTTTATAACTACAGTGATTCACTTTATAATTATGCCAAGTAAGGTCATAAAATGGGGCAAAACTCACTTAACTGCCTTGCTTACCAATAGAAATTTTGGGCTCAATTGTTGTAAATCGAGCTTTTAACTTTAAAAGCACAATGAAAAATATAGAAAATGAGCTATTTAGAAAATTAGTAAAAGCTTATTACTATGCTGAATAAATACTGTTGTAGTACTTTGTTATGTCATGCTGGATTCACCCAGCATCTGAAAGGCTGGAATATTCATTTTTAGCAGTTAATAAAGAATTGCTATAACTATAATCTCCTTTTCACAATAAATTCTGCAATTGTTTAGAAGCACCTTTCAAAACGGAAGCAAAACACGAGTAGAGGGGAAAATATCAATCAGGTTCATGGACTGTTCTCCCTTTCTTCAGAATTTACGCCTTTTCTAGAGACTATTTTCTAACTTAGTTTTTTGTTTCCCATTTCTTTCTGATGAGGTGCAATGGAACACTGGTTTATCAGCCTTTCTTTACAATAGTGAATAGAAATAGAAATTCAGATTTTTTGTGAAAAGCCTCTAATGTGAATGCAACACAATTTATTTATGGAGTTTATAAGATGGAAATTGTAAAACATTCTGTAGTTACTCAGATACTGGATCAAATTAATACTGTTTTAATAAATATGCTGCCTGAGCAAAACCTTTATTTTAATTTATTTCCTGTGATTTTCTTAAGGCTTAATACCTTTGAGTTAGTGATTGTCCCCACTTATGTTGTTCCTATCTGACCACCAATAAGATATGTGCTTTATAATAGCTTGAAAAAATTATTTTGTGCACAGGAAGGAATGGGAAATTATTTGGAAATGTAGATAAAAGGGGCAGATAATTCCATTCCTCACTATCCTGCCAGCTGAAGAAGTTTCTTGGATGAGAAGTGAAACGTCTTCAAAAGAAAAAACAAAGTCCAGTTGCCTCTTTAAAAAGCACCTTACTGATACATCTTCCAGCAATACTGTTCCAGTGAATCATTTTGGCAATTGTTATGTCATTTATAGCCAGTTTATGTGATCTTGCATGAGCTGAGTGTATTATCTATTATTTCTTCCGCTTCTCCACACACTCTGCACTTTGAATCATTTAATGATTTTTCAAATCTGGCAGATTTTTTTCAATTCTATTCATTAGTTCAACTAGCTGGCTCTTGAGCAGCCAAAATCAAGCCTACAGTTTCTTTTTTTATGTTCTTTTTATCATTAATATTAACATCAACATTATTAATATTCCTTATGATTATAAGGGAACAGTAGTTGATGTGAAGCAGAGGATCTAGTGAGATTGCATGATAATAATGTACACTGAAGATGGCATTTAATTTTGTTGTACGAGGTGCAATGACAAAGTAAACTAAACTAAACTAAACTAATACTATGTACATTATTGAATCCATTATCTGAAATGAATGAATAAATGCAAGCAATTCTTTCCTTATTTTGAATGTAATTCTTCTCCTTGAAACAATGCAAAATGAGATGTCCAAGAATTAAAGTGGCATAAATAATTTTATTCAATTAATATGAAAAAATATATGTTCTACAAAGAATGAGAAACTGGGTGAGTTCAAAGTGATTTATTTGATTTCCCACATAATCACAGTTATAGTTTAACAACAATAAAGTCTGATACTACTTACAAACATATGCATATTAAAATGAAAGCACTCCTTCTTTTCCAACAGTTACAAAATCTCTTGAATCTCCCTTTACAGAAGCTTCTCATGAGCATGATGTTTCTTAAAGTCTTTTTAACAGTCTGCATTCAATCTAATTCTAACAGTTTAATACTATTCAAAGCTGGGATTTAGTTCCTAGCAGAGACAGTTACTGTGTGTAACCTGAAAAGTGACTGCAGACTTATATTAATACTAATTTACACACTATATACAGTTTAGAGAATTAATTATTCTTCCTACTTGGTCCTGTTTCCACTCCCTTTTTCCCTCCTTCAAAATTGTATCTTATGATTGGTCATTTTTTCTTTGAACTATGTACACACTTTTTTTGCAGGCAAGGTGTGATGATATTTTACAAATGGAAACAGCAAAACTCATGCTTAATTGCAGAAAATGCACAGCTGTATATGAAACAGCAAGTCAACATGTAAAGTGTCATTGTTAAGTAGCTGCTGACCGCTTTTCAGCTCATTTAAAAATCAAGAAACGAGGTTTCAGCTGCATGCAGTGCTTGATGGGAAAAATCATCCTACAAGTTATGCTGTAAGACTTAGCAATACAAGACATTTACATTATAATAGGATAACTTTGGTTTTCTTTACATTGATTTACATTTCATTCTTAATTAAAAGAAATATATAATTGATGGTTGTCCCAGAAAAGATATTTTTACAAGGTCCATTTTTCTTACAGTTTTCACTGAGAGAAAGAGATGCGGTTCAGTAGTGCTTTATACTGCTTTTTAATCAATAAGGAAAACATAATTAAAACTTTCCAATATCTTTTAAAAAGTTAAATTTATTTTCTTCAGTAGCATATAAATCGTAATAATGATTACTTTCATTTTCCAAAACATGGAAAAGTATTTTTCTTTTTTACTTTTAAACCTAAAGGTAATTCTCTTCCTTGGATGTTTTGTCTAAATGGCAATAACACTGGATTTTTATGCAATAACATATTAATTGAATGGGTTTATTGATTATTTTTTTTATATTTGCTAATCATCAAAATTTGTGATGATTACTTT